TAGTGCTGTGGCTCCACATGCTGATTTAGACTCTAGACCGTTAGGTCGCAGGCCTGTCAAATTGCCTGCAAAGTTCAAAGACTATGTTGTGAAGTGAAAAAAAAAAGTATCCATCCTTTGCTTTATAACTTTCGCTGAAATCTGTCTTGGACTACAGTCTTGGACTACAGACCATATTGTGTTCATGGAAACTTTTGGTTTTAGTGCACCAATAATCTGCACAATGCTTTGCCTGGTTTATTAATGGCATTGTTGTTTTCTGTTAGTTGAAAACGTGGACGTTTTTTTTCCCCACAGGGTAACTAATGTGAAGTTTCTTTTGTTTAATATTCATTGTATTTTATTTTTTACATATTTTTGTTAAGGACTTTTATTTTGGTGTTGAATCCTCAGAGAGAGGATGATGTAATGAGAAGCGGGAGTGCAAAAAGGGGAGGGGTAGAGAGAGTGCCAGCGAGGAGTATTGTTGTGTTGCTCTGCTCTCCTTAGACTCTGCTCTCAATAAAAAGTTATTAGTCGTCAATATTCCAGTCCATCGTCTTTATTGAAACCAATCCACAGGCAGCTAAACCCCACGCCTTACAGTAGTACAAATTACCATTATGTAGAATATTCTAGTAGGCTACTTCACTTTTACTTGTTCCCATGTTCTACAAGTGGGTGGTGACTCTGACATTACAATGAACAAAGTAATTAATTATTTAGAAATTATTAAAATACAAAAATATATACTGTAATAAAAACATCTAACATGGTCACTACAAACTTAATTTGTCTGCTACTTTTTGCCAGCCCTCTCTCATGGCTTTTGCACACTTTGAGGTGTTCCCTGGCGTTTTAATTAAGTTTTCAAATTCAGCATATCCTTCAAGCAATAACTCTTGCTCTGCCGCGGTGAAAAACTGAGCGTGCTCTTTGGCCACGGTGAGCAGCCAATAGCAGCGTTGCTGATCAATGTTTCTACTATCGATACATATCCCCTTTTAAACCAGTGCATGAACTCGCAATTATCTCAGATAACTCAATCCAGCTATAATAATCATAACCGGCAGGTGTGTTTGAAGAACCTAATTAGCCGGATCATGATGAGCACGATGATATTATCTTGGATGTCTCGTTTGATCTCGGATGTTTTAAGCAACGTACGAAGAACGGGTCCCAGGTTGACACTTCAGCGTGAGAAATCGGGGGTGTGGCGTGTGAGCGTGTGAAACCAATCAAATGCGTGTGTCTCACGGCCAATGCGTGAGAGTTGGCAGCTCTGATTAATGTTGCAGAAATGTTTTGTCCATGCCTTTCAACTTGCGTGTGCAAAATTCAAAATTGAATGAATGTGTAGCAATTTGTACAAATAGAGAAATTTTTGTGAATACAAATGTTTTCTTTTGTATTAGTGTATCATAATTTGTGCATGCAACAAAGAAGATGTGCATGAGTCGATCTCATTTGATTCATTTGGATTTTGAGACTTTCTTTTCGCTGTTTTTAAGCATTTCACAACCCACACACAAACAACTACAAATGAATAGGCCTGGTGCTAATTATTAATGTGTGCACAACTACCCATTTATTTGACAAATTCACAAATGTGCGTCGCTACATTTAAACTAATACAATACAACTTGTGTGTGCAAAATCCAGAATCACATGAATGTGCAGCATTTTGTACAAATAGAGACATAGGCCTAGTTGTTAATACAAAACCTCAATTTTGTATTAATGTAGGCCAGAATTTGTGCATGCAACAAGTAAGATGTGCATTTGTGGATGAGGTGACACGTGTGCATTCATTGACTCGTTTCTGAGTCGATCCTTTTTGATTCATTTGGATTTTGAGACTTTCATTTCGCCGGTTTCGTCTTGCAAGATCCACACACACTGTCTGAGAAAAGCTGCTACCACTAGATGGCAGTATAGCTGCTAAAACAGACAACGGCCGCGTAATCAAGCGTTCTTCCACATTTAAGACGCTTAAAGGAGCTGTATGTAAGATTGTGGCCAAAACTAGTACTGCAATCACTGTCAAATTACTGTAGAGTGGTGTATCCCTTCCCCCTCCTCCCTGACTCGAGGTTGCCAGATCGGCAGCAGGATCCAGCAGGAACGTGACGAGCTGCAGCTGTGGTAACTAGAGCAGACCTGGCAACCCGGATGCCGCAACACTACTGACTTTGTGATTGGTAGATAGGTGGAGGGTGGAGCATCAGACCAAAACACAACATGACAACATCAACATCAGTTGAGGGCTGCAACTGCACTTTTTAAATGACAATATCCTGGCCAGACTACTGTTGTCAGTGATATAAGTATTTGAAATGTACATGATTTCTTAATGTCTAGTGACATTTCAGGGCCATTTTATGATTAATTGAAATACATTTCTTACATACAGCTCCTTTAATGTGAGTGATATTGAAGTGTCAAATTTAGTACACAATATAGGCCTACCTTATTAATAAAGCATACTTTATAGAGGCAATCAGATTATGAACAACACCCATAGAAAACCATTATAAAACGCTTCACGTGCAATAGCGCATTGGGCGTTCAATAAGGCATATCAGCTACTGAGTTTTAATATCACCGTCTTACTGCATTGACGTTAAGCTTTTTCGTAATAATAGGCTCTATGGGAGGAAAACTATATAGCCTATACAGAGCCTATATGAATGCGACGCGCAACGTTTCACGTTAATGGCATTTTCCTTCCTGAGCCTGTTAAAAAGAAAAAGCTTAACATGAAATTTCGCAGGTGCGTTCATATTATAGGCTTATTTTTTATGACTACACATTGTAGGCTACAAGCTTTGGAATTTGAAAATGTCTGTTTTTCAGTGGTGGAGGAAGTACTGGATCTCAGTACTTAAGTAAAAGTACAAATAACCAGAGACATATTTACTTTAGTAAAAGTAGAAGTACCACAATGACAACCCTACTTAAGTAAAAAGTACCTGATTTTAAATGTACTTAAGAAAAGTGTCTGTAATGACAACATTTCGTTGACTAGTTTTGGATAGATTATAAAGTTTTTACTAAAATAGACATCAAATAAGCTTTTGTTAGACAGTTTCTGCTCATATGTTAAATATATAGTATGTTTTGTCAAAAATAAACTAATAAACTGTTATAGTGTTTGTTCCAATGCAAGCTATATCAAAATAATGAATAATGAATCCTTAACTTTGAAATATGTATGATAAAATGTATTGGCCTACTTTAAAAAATAATACTTTATACAGACATTTATGGAAAAAGATGTTGTGTTTGTCTATTTAAACAATATAAATCAGAGTCGAGACAACGATGGGCAATTCTTCTTTTGTATTTTTACTGTGCAACATCGAACAACAGGCTGGCCAACCAAATTCTATCATGAGTTAACCTTGAGTGGCCAAGTAGTGCTTATTCCTGAGTTTACTCTTAAGTGCATCCTACTCAATACAGACGGTTTGGTGGTTTCCGTACCCGGGTAGGGTAACGTTTCTCTTCACAGGTTGGAGTTAGTGCTTGTGGCACTTTACTGGAAACTACAGTATCATCTTGAAGTGTTGTTGCATCATTTCCACTGGAAACAGTATCAGTAGTGGTGAATGGAACACTCGCACTTTCCAGAGGAACATCTGATCTTCTCAACTGATCAATGTGTCGTCTCCAGATAGTATCTGGTGCAATCTCAACTGTATATGAGAGTGGTCCTGTTCTTTCTTTGACCTTTACAGGTGTCCATTTATGATCTCCTCTGTAGTTCCTAGCAAGCACACTCTCTCCTACTTCCAACTCTCTGGTTTTTCCTCCTCCTTGTGATTGCTTCATCTGTCTGTCATGTACAGCCCTCCTCAAATTGGGTTTCAACAAATCCAACCTTGAACGTAAGGCTCTACCCAGGAACAACATGGCAGGTGTTCGGTTTGTGGTGACATGAGTTGCATTTCGATATGCAAACAAGAAATTGTGGAGCTTCTGGTTCAGTGTGATCTTTTCGCTTGTCATGGCCCGTAGTGCATTTTTCAAGCTTTGCACAAATCTCTCAGCTAAGCCATTTGTAGCTGGATGGTAGGGCGCTGAGGTCACATGTTTGATTCCATTGTTCTTTAAGAAGATCTGGAACTCCTCATATATAAACTGGGGACCATTGTCACTCACCAGCTGTTCTGGTACACCAGTCCTTGCAAAAAGTTCTCTCAGAACCGTCACAGTTTGGGCGGCGGTTGTGAAGGTCATACTTCTGGCCACTTTGAACACGCATTGACCACAACCAGAAATGTGGTGCCCATGAAAGAACCCGCAAAATCAACATGGATCCTTTGCCACGGTAACGCAGGCCACTCCCAAGGATGTAGAGGTGCAGCCTTTGGCACCTTTTGCACATGTTGACATCCTGAACAATGCATGGCGAGCTGCTCGATCTGCTGATCTATTCCAGGCCACCATACAAAGCTTCTAGCAAGTGATTTCATCTTTACCACTCCTAGATGCCCAACATGAAGCTCCTCCAAAACTCGAGTTCGCAACTTAGGAGGTACAACAACTCTTAATCCCCACATGATGCAACCACCATCCAGAGTTAGTTCATCACGGCGCTGATAAAATTGTGTGAAACGAATCTTCTGCTCTGCATTCCAGCCAGACTGTATAGCTAAATATACCTGAGACAATGCAGGATCTCTCCTGGTTTCTCTCCGACTAATTTCGTCTGTAACAGGAGAACTCTCAAGCTGAGCAATTGTAAAAACGTCCAAAGGTGTGCTTACGTTCTCTGTCTTTGAATCACACCCATCCAATGGTAGAAGTGATAGCCCATCAGCATTAGCATGTCTGTGTGTTCTTTTGAATTCAATCTGATATCTATGTCCTCCAAGAAACAACGCCCACCTTTGAATCCGTGCTGCTGCAGTCAGTGGAATTCCTTTCTGAGGATTGAAAATGGAAACCAATGGCTGATGGTCCGTAACCAAGGTAAAGTTGTTTCCATACAGATACTGATTGAATCGTTTTACGCCTCATACCAGGCTCAAAGCTTCCCTATCAATCTGTGCATAGTTCTTCTCTGTAGCACTGAGGGAGCGTGATGCGAAAGCTATGGGGCGCTCCGTTCCATCACCCATCACGTGTGACAACACCGCCCCTATGCCGTATGGTGAGGCATCGCATGCCAGCTTTAGTGGCTTGTGCGGGTCATAGTGAGTCAGAACTGTGTCTGACATCACTAGTTTCTTTGCTTCCTGAAAAGCTTGCCTGCATTGCTTTTTCCAAGTCCATTTCTTTCCTGCTTGTAACAGGGCATTTAGAGGATGGAGAACAGTAGCCAGATTTGGCAAAAACCTGTTGTAGTAATTGACAAATCCAAGGAAGGACCTCAATTGCGAGACATCTTCCGGTTGTGGAGCCTCTGCAACAGCTCTTAGCTTGTCGTGACACTTGTGCAGACCATTCACATAAATTTTATGTCCACAATACGTAATGGTGTCTTTGAAAAACTCACACTTGTCACGTCTTGCGCGCAGTCCATACTCTTCCAATCTCCTTAAAACCCGTGCTAAGTTCTCCAAGTGACCACTGTCACTGTCACCTGTGATGATGATGTCATCGAGGTAACATTGGGTACCAGGGCAACCCTGAAGTACCTGATCCATAGCCCTTTGCCATAAGGCCGGTGCTGAGGCGACGCCGAAAACAAGCCTGTTATAGCGATACAAGCCCTTGAAAGTATTGATAGTCAAGAACACTTTTGAGTCCTCCTCCATTTCCATCTGTAAATATGCTTCCGCCAAGTCTATTTTACTAAAGAGCTGTCCACCTGCAAGTGTAGCAAAAATATCCTCTATTCTTGGTAGTGGATATTGTTCTGCCTGCAATTCAGGGTTGACAGAGACTTTAAAATCCCGGCAAAGTCTAACAGTTCCATCTTTCTTGGCAACAGGAACAACTGGAGTTGCCCAGGGACTCCAGTCAACCTTTGAAAGTATTCCTTCAGCTTCCAACCGATCCAGCTCATTTTCCACTTTCTGGCGAATAGCATAGGGAACAGGCCGCGCCTTGTGAAACTTGGGTACTGCATTCTCATTCAGGGTTATCTTTCCTTTTATATGCTTCAGCGTTCCTATTCCCGACTGAAACACAGCTACAGCCCCATCCAGCACTTTTTCCAGCTTCATTTGGGTGCACTTCGATGAAGGAACTGTGACTTGCAGACGTTTTATGGATTTCCAGTCCAGCTGCAACTTTCTCAACCAGTCACGTCCCCAAAGTGCTGGTCCCTCTGTTCGTACTATGTATAGATCTAATTCACTCTGTTGATCATTGTACATTACAATCACAGGCATCACCCCAAGAGGGATTATGGGCTCACCAGTATATGTTTTCAGTTTAACAGGCAATGGCTTTAATTTAGTCGTTTTGAAATGTTTTTCAAACTCGTGCTGTGACATCACTGATACAGCGGAGCCTGTATCCAATTCCATTCTGATTGTCTGTCCATTCACTTGAGGTGTAAGCCAGATTGCTTGTTTTAAGTCACTTTTCAGCAGGGACGTGCACAGGAATTTTGTGGGGCAGTTGCTCTGACCTGAAAAAAGGGCACTACCCCCAAAACTCACGGGCTATATGAAGGAATATATTCAGTTGAATTTTGCCCATACAAATCGCCTTATCTGATCGTGTTTATGTCCAAACGCAATGCCTCATATTATGGTCTTATTATTATTTATAAAGATTGCAAACGTCAAAGATGACAGGTTTATGATATACAACTTTGCAGTATACAAAATGTATTAACAATATGTTAAATGTCACCAAAACACACATGAGAAAAAGAGTTCCTCATATTATTGTTTATTTTTTTTTAATTATTATTATTATTATTTTTTATTTTATTTTTTTTAAATAAATAATCTGGATTGAATTGACAGATGGGGAAAAACTCGCTTCTAATAAAATAAAAAAACGCTTAGATTTCGGAAAAAATACAATCCTTTTTTAACCTTTTGGCTTCCCGTACATTCAATTGTGCTTTTTGCTCATCTGGGCAACTACGCATGATTTGTAGTATGATTGCGTAAAGGGAACAGGAATTCCGGTAAGGAACAGAATCGACTGCTACACCCAGTGCCGATCCTGACCTCCCTGGGGCCCTAAGCAAAATTCTGCTAAGGGGCCCTCTACCTGACCTGTGATGTCGTGAGCTATGTAAACCATTTGCCATTGCCACAGTCACACCTGACACTTCAGCGCTCCCATACAATCCTCCCTCCTTTAAACAAAACAGTCAAAGAATAAGTACAACAATATAGAACAGAATGAGGTTCAAACACACAATATTTATTGAATAGAGTATTTTCTATAGAATGTTAAGATAATAAGTGAATATTATTAAGTAAGTGAATATTAACGTAAACATAAATAAGAAGAAAATAATAAATTATAACCCTGAGCTTTGGCTTTTGGGATTAACTTTGGTTCTTTCTACAGCCTGGGCATTTTCGGCATCAGTATGATTTTTTAATTTTTTATTATGCATGTTGAAGCAATTCTTGATTTATGGTTATTATTTACTGAGGGATGTGCATCCATTTTGACCAGTATGTCCAGCTAATCAACATTTTTAATTCAATATAGCCTATAAATCAATAGTCAATCAATGTCAAATTGTCAATACATTGCTTTCTATCTTGCATAATTAGTGTCTTGTTTTAAAAGTATAATGTGTACTTTGATTGGGAGTGCCATCATTCACGTGCATGTATTGTACAGTATGTCTGGTCTCCACATATTTCTGCTTGAAAAATGCGAGTTTCATTTCGTGCACGCGCATATGAACGCACGATAACACACGCGACGCGGTTATGTTTTCCGAGCTGCAGTAAACAAACACCGTTGCACTTTGTCGTTTATCAAAATCAAACGTAATAAATAATTGTATTTTACTCTCACTTTTGTCAGCCACAAAGTGAAGCAAGAGATGCACTGCCTGCCCAGCTAGGTTAGCAAGACCGAAAAACATCAAACTTTGCTGACATCAAAGAAGGCTGGCTCTGTGCTGGGGCTTGCTCTGGAGCCCCTGGAGTTGGTTGTGGAGAGAAGAATGTTACACAAATTATACAATATCATGGACAACACTTCACATCCGCTGCACAACCTGCTGGTCGGGCAGCAGAGTGTATTCAGCTGGAGATTTCTACAACTCCGCTGTAGCAAGGACCGTTACAGGAAGTCATTTCTACCCACTGCCATTACAATTCACAACAACTCTCTGGGCAGGGAGAGGAGACTGAGGAGACTGAATGACACGTGAATGATAAAGGACATTATATTATTTTTAACATTATATTTAACACTCAATATTCACATGTGATACTAACTTCACATCTTTGTGCACTGTTGCACTTGTGTATACATTTTATACTTGTTAAGATACATTGTAATATTTTTATCTATTTAAAAAAAATATATTTTTTTATTTATTTGTCAGTATATGTCAGTCTATGTAATATGTTTGGTTTGTATTCTGTGTTACAATCCTGCTGCAACACTGCAATTTCCCCTTGGGGATTAATAAAGTTTTTCTATTCTATTCTATTCTATTCTATTCTATTCTATTCTATTCTATTCTATTCTATTCTATTCTATTCTATCAAACTTAGAGAGGAGAGAACACAAGTTTACCTGATTGTTGTTCCCACAATTCACTCTCATGGTTTTTTTCTTCTTCCTCTTTTCGTGACCAGAAGGATAGTTTCGCTTCATTTTGTCGTGGATGTTGTAGCTACACATTTGACGGCGCGCTATGACTATGACACGAGATGGAGGCGTGGCCTTAAGTAATTTGCGTGGCCCTACGCCGGTCGCGTGCAGTCTATGGTCGCGTGCAGCGTTTGCCCTTCATACTGACTTTCACTTTCGGTGCCCGAATGGAAGTGAATGAGGCTTTGCGATTTTTTTTTAAATCTAGGCCTACGTGAAATTCTGCATCCATTGTACGATTTAATTTTTTTCTCGGAAGGGCAACTTGAGTGAGAAGCGCAACTTGAGTGAGAAGGGCATATGGGCAGTTGCCCGGGCAACCTGAGCAACCCCCCTGTGCACGTCCCTGCTTTTCAGACTTTAGATTTCTAAATTTGCCAACCCTGTGTCACTTTCTTCATCTGAGTTTTGGGCAACAACATGCACATTCCTACTTTTCATTTTCTGAGCCTTGTACTGTCTCTCTTTTTCAATGTATGGTAGCCTACATCAGACCGACATGCTCTTTGTATGTGTCCAACTTTGTTGCATTTTCTGCACATTTCAGTTTTGAATCTGCACTGATTTGCTTTGTGTCCTCCCGTCACAACGGTAACACAGTTCAACTTTTTGCATAGTTCTTTTAGGTTAACCTGCAGTGGTCACCTTGTTTACAGACATTTTAACTCCTGATCTCAGCCCTACTGCATCTCTGGCAGCCGTTTCCATGGCAACAGACATTTCAACTGCATGTTTGAATGTTAGATCTGCCTCTGAGAGCAATCTCTTCTGTATACTCTCTTGTGAAATGCCACAGACTAGCGCGATCTCTCAGCGCGTCATTTAGTCCGTCCCCAAACTGACAGTGTTCTGACAATTTCTTTAATTCAGCTACATAAACTGCGATTGACTCTCCATCATTCTGATTCCGTTTATGAAATCTGAATCGTTCTGCAATGAGCAGCGGTTTTGGTGCTATGCTCTTGCATTATCTTCACAATGTTGCCAAAACTAAGATCAGCAGGCTTTGTGGGAGCAGTGAGGCTTCTCAGCAGAGCATATGCTTTCCAACAACACTGACACCCGCTTTTCAGCAGAGGTCATTAGCTTTGAAATACTGCTCGATTCGTTCACAGTACAAAGTCCAATCATCCGTAGCATTTTCAAATGGATCAATCTTTCCGATATGTCCTGTCATCTTTCTTAATTCACTTACTAGTTTGTGATGAATCTAATGTTACCCCTCAATCTCCGTGAGGCTGTGTTTCATCTCTTTTTATCACTTCTCCCAGAAAAAAAACACCCATCTGGAAAAAAAAACTAGGAGACAGTGCTTCCATATGATAACCAAAAATCCTCGTCGCCAACTGTTATGTTTGTCTATTTAAACAATACAAATCAGAGTCGAGACAACGATGGGCAATTCTTCAAATAGTGCTTATTCCTGAGTTTACTCTTAAGTGCATTCTACTCAAAAAGAAAATTGTCTTTTGTAGTGTATTAAGATGTTTCCAACTCTAACTTTGAACCAATTCTGTAGAATGGCCCATATAGTCTATTTGAACAGGATTTGTTTCCAGGTATGACTAAAAATGTGCTTTTGACTTTCATTTATATTTTGATTATATATATATATATATATATATATATATATATATATATGTGTGTGTGTGTGTACGTATATATATATATATATATATATTTATATATAATCCTTGCATTCTTTCTTGGATCTAGGATCACGATGTTAAACTGATCCACCCCCTTGCAGGGCTAGTAACCCGCTTGGGGTTAATCAACGTCAATCAAACGTCTTTGTTGCGTCGCTGTGCGATCCCATCGCTTATGACGGTTCAGGCAACTGCTTCCGATAATACAACGACAAAACAGGACAACACAAGCGCCATCACTACGACACAACATCGTCTATTCACCCACCGCAAACCAACCATCATTGCCACTTACAACGTCCGTACTCTAAGAAAAGCAGGAAAGAGTAAAAACAAAGAAGTGCCACCAACACTCGAACAATCCGAACGCTTCCATCGGCTTATCCATGGATGTGAAGAGAACGGAATCGACATCAAAGCCGTCCAAGAACATCGACTACCAGCAACTAACAACATCAACACTTACACCGAAGTCTACAATGGCAGAGAGTGGAGATTCGACTACTGCTCAGCCACAAAAACAACGCAAGGCAACCATGTCGGAGGAATAGGGCTCCTCACAAGCAGCAAAGCGGCAAAGTCCCTAACAGCAACAATCAAAGTGTCCGAGCGAATAATGACAGCAACTTTTGCCGGCAATCCATCTACAACAGTCATCGTGGCCTACGCTCCGACAGAAGAGAAACCCGATGAAGACAAAGACAACTTCTACGACAAGCTCACCGAGTGCACTGAGGAAATCCCGCCACACAACATGCTCATCATCGCAGGCGACTTCAATGCGAGAATCGGAGAAGACTGTCATCAATCCAATCCTAGAGTCATCGGCAAGCATGTACTTCACAAGTTAACAAACGGCAACGGAAGTAGACTAGTTGAGTTCTGCGAAATTAACAACATCAGGCCAATGCAAACCAGATTCCCGCACCCGAAATCCAGAATCTGGACTTGGCAGCCGGACGCCAACAGGAAAGCAAACGACGGCAAAAACAGAGCTCAACTAGACCACATATTAGTTAGCGGCAAATGGATCAATTCGGTAAGGAACGTGCGAGCCTACAACACTGTCGAACTTGGATCTGATCACAGAATAGTCAGTGCCGCGATCAAGATCAGCCTACGAGCACCAC